TACAGATTTCGAATTTCCTTATCTGATGTTAGGATTAAGAGAGAGGCGGGAGCCCACTGCTGGCTGGACTTCTCTAGGGTGCAGGAGGATAAGCCCTGCTTTCTTTACCTGAACCCCTCCCTGAGCAGGTACACCTAATACCGAGCCAAGGGCATGTGGCTTCTACTGGGGTCGGAAAGGCTTGGTGTATTCTCTTTCCTCACAGCAATGCTCCAAAGCAGAAGTAAGCCTCCTTGGTTTACACGGGAACTGAGTCACAGAGTTCAACAGGCCGCACAGTGCCCTGTGTGCAATGTACCATGAGAAAACAAGCAAGACTGTGCCCCCTCTGCAGAAAGACGTGGTTATAGAGTACCCTTAGAAACTAGACAGCTACTCAGCCACATAGAAAACCCTAGCAGTGTTAAGGACCAAAAAAGCCAAAGGTAAGAAACTGGTGACCTAAGAGGAATCTTTTATCGTTTTGTTGTGGGGTGGGGATTGAACCCAGGGCCTCCTGTGTGCTAAGCATGGGCTTTACTTCTGAGCTACTTCCATACTGGGCAATATGATTCTGGATATTATATTTTTAAAAATTACATTTGTATACATGTGTGCATGCCTGTGTGTGTGCGTGCCTATGCACATGTATGAGTGTGTGCATGTGTATGCTTATTTACCTGTGTGCATGTATGCGCCCCAGCACATGTGTGAAAGCCAGAAGACAACTTGCAGAGGTTATTTCTACTATACGAGTTGCTGGGAATGAGCTCGGGTCCCCAGGCTTGGCAGCAAGCACATTAAAGGCACCCAGCCTCTTCTTTTCTGACTCCTTTGCTAGCTCTGACTTTCCAGGTGGAACTCAGGGGCTGACATCACTCTGTTGTATGCCACTGATGACGCATTTGTACCATGTGTGTCCTCACACTTGGTTCATGCATGGGTCCCCAGCATGGAGAGACGGGCTGAAAGCTCTTAGTTCATGCCTTGTTCTGAGTCCAATAGGTAAATATAAAGAGGCCATAAAGAGTCTTGACATAGGAAGACTCAAAACCCAGTCTTTAACTCTCAAAAGCAAAACTGTAAAATAAAGAGATATTGTGTGTGTATTAGATACAAAGACATCTCAGCTTAGCCCCAACCCTGATCCCTGCCCTTGGGACAAGCTTGAGGTAGGCAAGTGTAGGGAAAGTTTAGTAATCTGAGGTTCCATTGAGCCATTGAGATTTATGCACATACGCGTGCACTCACACACTCACACACATACACACACATGCATACATATGCATGCTCATGCACACAGTGGACACACCACACACATATGCACCATACGCATGCCACACAGATGTATACATATACACATGCTCACATGTAGACGCACACACATATGCAGCACACACGCTGCATACACCCACACCGGCATACACACGTTTACCCCTTTTCTAACAATACACTCAGAAACCTATGAACTTTACCTGTATTGAACTGCACACACCCTCTCTCTAAACAAAGTAACTTGATCACTCAACTTATAGTTCCTTAGAAACTCTTGGTAACTCCCCTTTTGTGACCAAGCACATTCTGAGATATGTCCTGAACTAGGGTCACTGGACTGGCTCACGTGTGTCCTCTGAGTGAATTTTTAGGGGAACCCTCTATTTAGCGCCTCCTGTATATGCACGATTGGTCATGAATATAATCATGATCAGATACATTTATGGGAAAGGACACTGACTACTAATAAAATCTCCCATAATCCAAGCCTGCTGTTCAAAACAACCCGTACCCCATCCATGAACCAACTCTTGCTCCTTCTGAACCCTCAAAAGGAAGGCCAAGACAGCTCTGGCATAACTGTCACCCTGTGGCCCTTTTGCTTCTGAATAAAATCTTTTGTTGCTCGGCTGCCTATACACACTTCTTCAGTTTGTAGAAGATACCCTGAACTTGGAAACACGCAGCCTGATAGAGACCCCAGTGACAAGTTCATGGCATATCCTGCCAGCCCTGCACTCACAACCTCCCCAACACTTCCAGAACCTGATCTCATCCATTTCTGTGATTGGGCCAAGTTACTGTCTTGTCCAGATGACCATATGTCTTCTAAGGATTCTCTTTGTCTTCCATTGCCCCACAGTCTAATCCCCAGAGAGCAGAGAGTGCCTAAGGTGCCAGGTGCTCTGCTTGTTTCAGGAGAGAGGTCCTAGTCCATTCACTGCCGTGTCCCCAGCATCTCCCATGAGGTCTGGCATTCCTAGCCTTTGCAGGAGCAGCATTTTGTTACTATGCAGTGACTGGCTGGGAGGATCCAATGTCTTTCCATGGAACTGTGACATAATAGGGCAAATTCATAGGGGCCATTCAGTTCCTGGGGTCAGTGATATCCTCTCCCGTTCTATTCCAGAACCTCCTTTGCAGGTGAGGACACAGGACAGAGATGAATGGCATCAGCGTGGCTTCCTAGCCTGGGACCCATCCCAAATGGCTTCTCTGTCCCCACTCGTGTCCTTCCTCTCCATATACCCCACACATATATCAGAAAAGTCATACAAAAATAAACACATCTGAAAGTGACGAGCGCACGCCGACAGTCCTTTCCTAGTGACTCACCGCTGTCGATGGCCAGGAACAGGGCGGTGTACACGCTGTTGTGGACAAATGGAGACTCCCGGTCCAGCACGGCAGTTGTATCTATAGTTCCATTGATGGGGTTAATATTGAGCCAGCCTGCTGGGTCCTTGTAAACAGAGTACCTGAGGAAAAAAAATCCCAAACATATCAGATTGTATTCCAATTAGAGTCAAGAAGTATGTAATGAGCACGGGGCCTTGGCTCCTTGGCTAAGTGCCAGGCTGTGCTTAGCTCGACCCTCAAACCTTTCAGTTCCAGGTGCTCATTTGTTAAGCCATTCCGAGCATGCTCTGTGCTGCACAGGTGCCAGGCATGCTCTTTCCTGCTGCTGCTGACCTCAGAGGAAGAGGCTCTTAGGATCTGCCTGGTTTTCACAGAGGCCATGATCACAGCCATCCTCAGCCGCAGCCCAGGCTGTTCTGGCACACCCTGGTGCACACTTCCTGCAGGGGCAGATGGAGGCTGTGCCGTGTTGAAGGGACAGACAGGACAGACGGCTGCTTGGAGAGCCATTGCCTCTTGAGAAAGGGTAGCCTCAGGAACATCATAGAAGTTGCCATCCTTGAACCAAAGGTGGGGTGGGTGGCGGTGTTAGAGGAGGGGACACACAAATGCGGAGGACAAACAGATGAGGGAACACTCAGTTCGGAGGCATTGTTAGGTTGCCATTTCTATGAGCATGTTTGCTGGTGGCCACAGGTCCTGCTCCTGGGACTGCTGCAGACTCAGGGCAGTTTTTGTCCCCATGGGCAACAAATGGGCACCAGAGGGCAGGGGCATAGCTCAGTTGGTAACATGATTTGACTTTGATCCCCAGAACCCTTGGAAAAAACCACACCAGAGTGGTAACATGGGTTTTTAATCCCAGCTCTGGGGAGATGGAGACCAGGGGATCCCAGGGACTCAGGCCAGCCAGCCTAACCTGTGAGACCCTGGACAGTGGAACACACTGTCTTAAAGTGGGCAGCAAATATAAACAGATCCCCCAAGGCTGATCTCTGTTCTTGTCACTCCGGTGACAGCATCAGCAAGTGGCACCCATTTAATAAGACTTGTACTTACTATGGCAGCCTCCCGCGTCACACTGAGACTTTTCATGGCCTGGCACAATCCTACTGACACAGTGCCTGCCGGTCTGCACACCAAGCTTGCATGCCTGGTGCTGCTATTGTTCTCTTCACAGATAAGGAAACCAAGTCTAGAGGACGCCCGAGTGTGTTCAGGCCAGAAGGGCAATGCTTTTTGCTGTGTCCTCATCAGTACGTTGGGGATGGCTGATGGCAGGGTCTGTGCATGTGGAGAAGCCCCCGTGAGTCTCAGACTCCTCACAGGGCACCCGAGAGCGAGGTGGCTTTTAGACTGTGGCTATGCCAATAGTTCACTAGGACCCGAAGCTACTGTGCATCTTTGCACGTGATGTCATGTGACCGTCCCTCACTGCAGAGCTCTGGGAGCAAGGCTTCCACAGTGGTGGCCATGCTGGGATGGACGGAGAGAGTGCTCCAGGCCAATGCCATTCCCTTTTACCTCAACGGTCACTTCAGAATTCCTTAAAACGAGAGACTCACTCCTGAGAACACTGCCTTAACACACCAGCCTTCCATCTGGTAGTGATTCACACCTGTGTCTGCCAAGCCTCCACTGTTTTTCAAGACCACTCTGACAGCTTCTCTCAGCCACCCCATGTCATAACTGGGAGGTACTTATCACCCGACACAGGTCCTTGCTGGCTGCAGCCTAATGTGGGCTCTGTGGAGTGGCCACCATGGCCATTGTCTAAGCTGTCTGGTGTGAGGATGAGGTTAGAGTTGACTAGAGCAAGCCAGGATTCCTGTGCTCGACTCTGGGCTACACTTGCGGAGTGACACACTTCTGCCCCTGTGATTCGCAACAGCCCAAACAGTACTGTATCACCTTGATCAGAAGATACAGCAACACCCCAAACCAAAGTTGAGCTGCTCGCCAAAAGTAGCTCAGCTAAGACATAGTGGAGACTGAACTCAGCGCTGCCACACTGGATTCCAGGCCCGGCCTTTACTCGGCACGCTGTCTGGTCCTCATGCTAAGGGCTAGGGACTGTCCCTAGAGCCAAGCCGAGTACCTGGTGAATGATACACAGTCAGATGGAACCTGCAGACTTGTGCACGCCGGGCAGGCCCTCTCCCACTGAACTTCGTCCCAGCCCTTGGTGTCTGGGACACTGTTTTACCATGTAAACCACATTGGCCTCAAACTCACATTTTCCTGCCTTGGCTTCCGGAGTGCTGGGACTGGAGGCGTGCACACCAAGCGCACCTTCAGCGCCTTGGCTGCGTTTTATTCTCTGTCAGCGGGAATACTTGTGCAGAGGGAAAAATCCAGAGAGGTGACAATTGCTTCTCATTTTGCAGGTGGCAGGTTCACGGTGGATCCAGCAATGACTTGTGGTTCAGCAGACTTAAAATAATGAGTATTTTAAATGGACCGTGTTTTATCCCCACATCACACAACTCAGTTCATAACATAAATAAAAACGGAATTGAGTGCTCCAGCTTTCAGGCTGGCCCGCCTGCCAGCAGCGCTGTTTGTTTCTCTCGACGTCATTTACCTTTTGTCTTTTGAAGCTACGATTCTGCAGTGAACCAAGGGTGCCTTCTGTTTTGTGTCCAGAGACATTGGGCAGAAATCAGTGTGTGGAATCATGATCTCAGAAGCCACACTCCCATAGCGATGCCAGTGTTAGCCCCCTGAGATGCCCGGGGTCTAGGGAAAGCCAGGGCTTCCGTGGCGTTGAACGATTATGCTCTCATGTTTTTCTCTTGAAAAGTAGCCCAGTCGAGGATAGATCTGGTGGTACACTCCTTTAGTCCTGGCACTTGGGAGGCACAGGTGTGTGGATCCCTGTGACTCAGAGGCCAGCTTGGTTTACATAGGGAGCTCCAGGACAGCCATGGCTGCATAATGAGACCTTGATAAAGGGCTAGGGAGATGGGTTAGCAGTTAAGAGCATCTATTCTTGCAGAAGGACCCAGTTGGTTTGCCAGTGCCCACATCAGGGGGCTCACAACTGCCAGCCTGAACTCCATCTGCAGAGCTCCAATGCCTCTCGCCTCTGTAGGCATCTACACTCAGGTGTGCATGCATGCGCACACACTCTCACACACACACACACACTCATGTAACTAAATGTAATAATAAATATTAAAAGAAGTAGCCAGGTGGGGGTTGTAGATGGTTCAGGTGGTAAAGCATTGGCTGCACAAGCGTGAGGATCTGACTGAGTTTAGCTGCCCCTGCCACGTTAAAAGCTGGGCGTGCTGGTGTGTGTCTCTAAGCCCAGCAGGGCAGGCAGGAGAAGGGAGAAAAGAAAACCCCCTGGGGCTCTCTATCTGACCAGTCACAGGCTCAGTAAGAGACCCCGTCTTGGAAAAATAAGGTGAAGAACAATGAAAGAGGAACCTGATGCCTGCCTTTGTTATCTACATACATGTGTACATACATTTATGGGCACACTTACACACACACACACACACACACACACAGAGAGAGAGAGAGAGAGAGAGAGAGAGAGAGAGAGAGAGAGAGAGAGAGAGAGAGAAACAATCAGCTGCCCATACTTATCTGTGTGTCTTGGGATCATTTTTATTTGTTTTCCTATATATGTCTATTTTATTTGATGCCTCTTCCATGACACCTTGACAGGGTGTGCCTGTACCCCCTTCTGCTTGCTATTTTTGGGGAGAACACACCCCATGGACACAGAGGCCAAGGGCCTACTACATTGGTAAACACTGCCAGCTCACACTGCCCACGTGATGCAAAGTGACAGCTGGGAGTGACAGGGACTTCCTCCCTGACCCACAGGGGACCCAGCTCAAGGCCACCTGCCAACGGGCTCTTCCACGTCATGACTTTTGAGTACTTTTGTTAAATCAGCCCTTTTGAGCCAACTGGCTGGACACACTATGTAAATTTCTGACATTTTCAAAGCCGTCCTTTTAATAAACCTTTCAGTATGAAAATAGCAGTCTGCAAAGTGTTTTCTGTGCTTCTGGACCCGAAAAACGCATATGCCTTATTAAATTGAAATTTCCGGGCAATTTATCTGTAATGTGAACTTTGCTTGTTACAGGGGGAAAAAAAGAATCAAATTAGGAACGGAGCTCATTTCAGTACGTAATGTAGCCTTGCGGACATGCTTTGAGTTCCTGCCAAGCCCTGGCCTCGTGTGGGTGTTGGCACTGGAGGGCCCAGCCAGGATCAGGGGCCAGCTCCTGGTGCAGGCAGTGTTGGAGCGCAGAGGGTGGGTGAACTGACAATTACAAAGAAGAGGGCAAGACAGAAAAATCAGAGGAAAGACAAGGATTGGGGTGCATGGCGGCATAACTGCCTAGGGAACCCTGATAGGTGCCGCCAACATATGATGGTTCCCCTCCATTTAATCTGACAGGATTTGGAATCACTGTGGGGACATACTTCTGGGTGTCTCTATGAGGGTGTTTCCAGAATGGGGGGACTGAAGAGGAAAGAGCAACCCTAATGGGTGGCACTGTCTGATGGGCTGGGATCCTGGATTTAACGAAGAGAAGGGGAGCCAAGTGCTAGCGTTCACCTCTCTCTGCTTCTTGATTGGAGACGCAATGTGAACACCTGCCCCGCGCGCTTGCCACCCCGTTGTGATGGACTGCACCCCCAAACCAGGAGTCCAGATACAGCTTCCTGCCTTAAGTTGCTCTGGTTAGATAATTTGCTACAGCCGTGAGGAAAGTAACTAATACACGCTCTAATGAGGAAACAATATTAATTATCACATAATGGTTATTTGGTTACACTCACAGCCAGGGCCATGAGAACAACTTTCCCAGCAGTAAGCCACAAGTGACGAATATTTTCCGTTCTCAGTATTTGCTTCCTGCAGGACCTCTAAGTAGGAGCACCTGTCCATAAACCTCCCTTGCCCCAAAGAGGCCTCCTAGCGGACCATTCCCTTGTGCTGCAGACGAGGAAACAGGTTCAGAGCCCTTTGTTCTTGTCCAAGTCCTACAGGTTTTAGTTGGCAGAACTGTGGTTCCAACCTGGCTTTCTGTCTTCCAGGCTCGGACCTGCTTTTGTTGGTCTAGAGCGGGTCACATGGGCTGGGCATTTTACGCCATTGGCTTCCCAGTTGTGATGTGTGCAGGGTTTCTGGGGTTGCTCTATGTATGGTCTATCAGTAATCTATCATCTATCTTTTTTTTTTTTTTCCAAGACAGGGTTTCTCTGTAGCTTTGGAGCCAGTCCTGAACTCACTCTGTATGTAGACCAGGCTGGCCTCAAACTCACAGAGATCTGCCTGCCTCTGCCTCCCGAGTGCTGGGATTAAAGGCGTGTGCCACCACCGCCTGGCTTATCTACTTTCTATGTGCCTAACAATTATGTATTGTTTTTGTTTTGTTTTGAGACAGAGTCCCATACTCTAGCCCAGGCTTGCCTAGAACTAACTCCATAGCCAAAGCTAGTCTCAAATGAGGGGCAATCCTTCACCATTCTGCTGGGACTGTAGGCATGGGCCAGCATGCCAGGAGACTCTCTTCCCCTTTTCTCTTCATCTGCCTTCTTTTCCTCTGTATTTTGTGTGTTGTATTTCATGTTGGCAGACACATCTTAGGCCTAAGAACACAGGATGAATGAGTCCCTTGGGACTGCTCTGCATTTGAATATTCTATTTGTAGGGCATGAGTGAACTCCTTGCTGTGTCTGGAATTATCTCAGAACCCCTAAACCTTGTGAGTCTTGGCTACTTCTTGGTTAGCAGAGTCATCAAGGAATCCCTGAGGGTGGGGGGGAAACCAGCTTGCAGGATCAGACCAACACCAACACAATGTACACCTCCGCCAGACACAGGCACCCAGCACCTAGGAGGATGTTCAGAATGATAGTGGGAATGTTCGAGAATCATAAGGAAACCTGGGACAAGCTGCTGCATGAAATCAAACAAAGAGAGGAGGGTTAGAGAGGAGTTTGTGGGTGCTTCAGAGGAGGCAGCAAATAGCAGAAGGTCAGGGGAGGCTTTGGAAGGTGGGTGAAGCCCCTAAGAGGTCTGCCTCTCAAGTGCTGAGATTAAAAGCAAGGGCCAAAACCACCTGGCTGGCTTTCAGTTTTTACTGGGAGCTGTCCCTCTGTCCTGGCTGTCCTCTTTGGATGAGGGCTATTGGTGACTTCTGCCTTTAAATGTGTAACTTGGGGCAGAGGAACCAGATAAAGTGGGAAGGCAGGACTTCAGAGTCTTTTGGTCTCTGTGCGCATGCACACACATACCTCTCCTCCACACCTTAAAATAACAGAATGGTCTGTTTTCTCGTGTTTCAGAGGGATACAGTCCTCTGTCCACAGCACATGGCTCTGGTGAGTCTTCTCCATATAGGCTTAATCTCTACTGCTAGTAGGTCATGTTCATCCCTAGTTCACTAATGCTAATGGCCTGGAGGTATCTAGCTGGGTCTGTTCCTCAGGGAGGCTCTCAAAACAGCAGGTTCCCTGGGAGAGGAGAGAATGGGCCATAAGCCAGCATGGACGTTGGTCTGTGTTTGTTCTGAGATCTTACTGAGTTGATTAATAGACATCTATGGCTTTGTGCCAGCTCCTGCCCCTTAGAGCCCAGCAGACATCAAGCTGAGCAGAGGCTTAGCACCTTCCAGAAGGTGCTAACGAGCCCGCCTTCTGCTGGGCATCTTGGAAGATAGATGGCTGAACCTGCTCTGGGCACTGAAGGTCAGTGGACACAATCTGGCAGGCTGCCTAGAGGAGGCAGGGCCCAGCAGGATGCCTGATTGAGGCGGTGCTCTCTCACCATGAAGTCTAAGCAGTCACCAGCAGATGCTGTGCTCCTGGGGGCGGGGGAGGCCGGATACAGGGGCAGGGACATGGCAGGGCTCTGGACTGCTAAAGGGGACTGGGGGCTTCAGTGGTGAGGGCTCAGGAGGAACACACGACTGGGCCCATGGTTCAAGTTGTGAGTCGCTACCTGCTTTGTGAAGGCTCCAAGGTTTCCCTCCTGCAGTGCACAGCAGCCGTGCCCTCAGCCCAACTCATCCAGTAGCTCCCAGCCTTCTACTGCAGGAGTGGGGCGTTTGCAGGGAGCGAGGTAGGGAGGTCAGTTTGACTGCACACACTTGCCTTCGCCCATGGTCCTAGCCGCCTGGGTTCTAGTCAGTCACTGTGATAAGACATCCCGACCTACAGCCACTCTGGAAGACGGACTTACTTGGCTCGCAGGTATAGGTTCCACTGCATTGCAGGGATCTCACAGTGGCAGGAGCCTGAGACAGCTGGTCACATGACTTCTACAGTAACGAGCAGAGGGAAGCAAATGCACCCATGCTTGCTGCTCTGCTCGGCTAGTTTTCTTCAGTTACACAGTTCAGGGCTCAGCCTAGGGAAGAGTGTCACCCAGACTCAGGGCGTAACTTCCCATCCCAATTGATATTCAAGACACTTCCCACAGACACGCCACCCTGTCCAAGCTGATGTAGACAGTCCCTCAACTGACAG